TAAACTATGTTAAACTAATCTCTGTTAAACTAAACTATGTTAAACTACATTAAACTAAATTAAACTACATTGTATGTTAAACTACGGTCAAGCCTCTTAGGTCTTTCGTAACGTTTGTATGTAGAAAAGTGCACACTGACTGAACTCTGAGACAGTGGTGTGTGTTTGTGTGATAACTGTGAGGGTTTCTACTTTGATTCAATGTGGACATGAACACGTCTGTGAACCCACTGAGGACCTGTCCCCGCTCAGTCCTTTGTATCAGACTGGGGTCCCAGTACATGGAAGTACAACTAGTGGAAGCCAGTGAGCCACACACCACAGCACGTATTCAAAACAAGAGCAGTAAAGTGAATAAAATGTAATAATGTTAACCTGTAGATGTTCTGTGGTTCAGATTAGTGCATTTATAACGTGGACGCAGAGAGCAGCATGTCAGGCACAGCATCCAGCACAACTACAGTCCTAGGAGAGACGGATGTATTTTACATCCAACACCAACTACATCCAACCCCAGGTGAGACAAATGTCCTCTGAATCCACAGCTACACTCTTCTTCATGAGCGCCATGTTTACACAACCGATGCAGTCAAGCACCAGCTCCTGAGCAAGTTTTTAAACTATTAACAGTTTTACGTTGTTTACCCTTAAGTATTCATATATTTTGTACTGTGTAATTAAAGTTTTTTTGAATAGCCACAGATTTGTTTTTAAATTCTTACCTAGACAAAAGTTATGAGTAGTACCAGTAGATAAAACTATGACAATGAAACAGTAAATTGTTGAAAACGCTTTAATGAAACAAGTAGTCTCCCAAAGATTAATGCAACAACATTAACAGAATACAACAAACCGCAAGGGTTATTTCTTTTACACAGCACTGCAAGAATCATTTTATGTTCACCACAAGTCAAAAAACTTTATTTTAAACACCAAAGGGTTCTTGCATCGGTCATGAGAAAATTTATAAATACATATGTACATATATTCAGGTTCATAAATACATATGTACATATATTCAGGTTCATAAATACATATGTACATATATTCAGGTTCATATGTATTTATATCCATAAATGCATCAGATGTAGTTAGAAACGGTCTCCAGTATAAAAGGTTGAAATTGTTATTGTTTTCATATTTTGCCAAATTAATGTAAATGTGTGATGTTAAACTTTGATTCTGCAAATAAATGACCGCATTCATTTTGATGGGTCAAAGGTAAATAACGTCTCTCGTTACATTTCTGTTAAACTCAATGCACGCATTTACACAGTCAGAAAAATGAAGAACCCGTCTTAAAATGTATGAATATATACGCATATGTCATACTACATTTGGTACAAAGGTTAAGGTTTCTTCTCCCTGCCTAGCTGTGTTGTGTTCCTGCATATTTCTGATGCCCACATGATGCAGGAAGCTGCAGCATCACCACAGCATCCATCCTGGTCTACAGATTGTGAGGACGTCTCCTGTTTACTTCAACTATCTGAAGATCTGCTCTCCTCCACAGCACAAGTTCCAGTCTTCAAGATGTGTTATCAGTATCCTAACCTAAAGAGATGTGTTAAAGTAAAACATCAAGTACCGGTATGTAAATAATATGCAACATTTCTTCATCTACTATTTATAAACTATTACTTATTGTTGTGCCACTAATTCTAAATTAGACAGGAGGTGTGTTAAAGTTAAGAATAAAGCAAATAATATGTAACATTTCATGATAAATCCACTACTTGTCCTAAGTGTTGTGCTCTGTGTCCACTGATCGTCATAGAAATGACAAACAACACCACCTTCTGCCCCTCCATCATCCTCCGACATATTCGTCAAGTGGACTGAATATTTGCTTGTTAACTTTTCAAATTCCAGAACAGCGAGAACAACACAGGCGTTTTGCAGCAGACATTCAACTTCTGACAAGCGGGAAACAAACACGGTCAATTCATAAATGACGTCATTCCGATTTTCCAGCTCTGAGTTTCGATGTAAACGGAACGCAGCTCAACGTTTCCTCTGCTCCAAGGTTGAACAGGAAACCAGGAGGAGAGGAAGACGCTTCATGGCCCCGGGAGACACAAGCCCAGCAAAGACACCCCCTCCCCCGCCCCTCTCTTGTCTTTCCTTTCATCTTTGAGTCATTGTAAAGTGTAATGAAAGGAAGACTGATGCATAATTCAGCAGATACAGTGTTTAAGAACTCGCCTTCTTGATCCCACAAGATGCAGAGACGACACATGGAGTGCCACACAAAGATTTTTCTCTGTCTAATGTGGGATTCCCCATGAACCTTGTGAATCGGGGCAAAGGGACAGTTTGCAATGTAAGCAGGACAGTCCATCCACCACTGTGTCGCCTCAGAAGTCTTGTTTTGTCTTCTTGACACAAGTTCGTTGCAACATTACCTCTTCATTTCCAAAAGGCAGACTAAAGGTCTAAAGGGGTGACTGGAACAGATCCTGCCACATCTTATCAAACAGAAAGGGATTAGAGGTGTTGAGCATCTGTCCACTCAGTCTGGGTTTTAATAGCAGATCATCTGGTGTGACTGTGCCGGGCTCTGTACACCTGGTCCTGGGAAACAAACTGCAATGTCATCTGCACACTGAAAAAAACAGTACTACAACAGACCTCAGTGGCTACACTGTATAAATCTTTTTTTCTGAGTGGACACTCGGGCTCTCGTGGTTCGTTTCAGTCCAAAGAGCAACATATTCGGTGGATCGAATGTCAGGCTTTCAAAACTGGTTGTGGGAGATGCTGCAGATGAGTTCAGTCACAGAAGAAGAGAAAGAAAGATTTGTATCTCTAAATCAAAAGCCACTCAGCTGCAGTGGAGAGAAGAAATGCACAACAGCTACAAAAGCCGGTTTCTCATTTTGCTGTAATTTTGCAGAGTTGACCGCTACAAACCCAGGGAATTTGTATTTACAACACATTCAGGAATGGCAATCAAAAATTTGTGAGAATGTTTCACAAACCCATGGCATTGTTTGAATCAAAGTTCATCAGGAACTCACAAATTTGTTTTGCAATGCCTGAAGAACAACCTGCAATAATCTGAAGACCGTCCTGTCGGAGTCATGCAACAAAACTCAGATTCTTTATTTTACACTGAGTGACTTACAACAGTTGTGTTATTGCTGAGACCATGAGAAAGAGGCCAAGGCCTCTGATTCAGTGCCTAATCTTCACGTGTAAGGTTTTTCTTTTTGTCTCCAACCGATCACAACGTAGTCGCCACCACCTTGTACATTTCCATACATTTCTTTACTTTTGGTTTGTACAAATCCATCTAAGATCCTATGGAGAAGAGTCCCAGACAGGTTCCAGACGTCTGCAATGACCCAGCAACTATTTTAGGAACGTTTGTTGAGCAAATTGTAAGTGCTCAAAATGTATGTGACTTACATGTACAATCCTGCCACATTTTGGAGACTCCCTCATGACTGCTGTCCACAGTTCGGCACAGCATAATGAGATACTGGTTTCAATTATGTCAGTGTGGCTCTTGCATATTTGGTACAGGAAGCACCATGTGAGGATGTCACACACAACCCTTTACATCTGTCATCTCTTTTTATCAGTACAGGTGCACACATACTGATGTTCTTGCTGTGAAGGCAAAGTGTAGGTTCAGCACGTAGGTGGACAGACAAAAGCAATGACAAAAAATGTAAATCCTCACACAGAGGATTCAAAGAAAACTGGGAAGGACTGGATCTACCCCTCCTCCAGAAAGAAAAGTAGGCCAGTCTATTTCTTCTTGCAGATGTTATTACCACGCAGTCGTCTGTGGTGTTGATACAGATGCAGATAAATATCAAAGAAGAGGAGTGATGTGGGCGAGACAGAATCAGGCTGACGGGCTCCCTCAGTGGCTCATGTTTGGCTCCATGGACCGAGACAAATTGTAATGCAGGCAATATTTGGGATGAGGAGCAGAGAGGTGTTGGGGGAGGGGATGAAGGAGGAGGCAATCTCCCTTCCCAAAAGACCTAGAAGACTGGATGTGAACCCTGTATGAAAGCAATCAAAGCAAAAATTGGGGGGGGGGGGGTGTTCTTAAATCTGTGCCAGGCTATCTCCACACCCAGCCTTCTCTGGGAGGAAACACATTCATCTCTGATGCCCCACATCCATCCACACACAGCGCCTGCTCTGTCCACAAGTCATTCAGTAGATTTATGGCACTTTGTTAGCTAGCTGCAGTCGAAACAGTCCGACTTCATTCTGCTTCGGATTAGCCTGAATAACCTGCATGCTGCTATGTAAATAGTTAGCCTGTGGACATGAATGCTAACCTGAACACACAAAGCACATTGAACCTGCTGTAAGGGTCATGAATCATCTAAACATCAGACACACTGTCCCATCAGGGTGACAGGCTCTCCTAACACCACATCAGCTGGAAAAACAGCACCTCCAAAACACATCCACCAAAACATAGCTTCTAAAGCAGATTACGGCATCAGCTCACCTTGATCTTGCTGCCTTTTCATTCATCCAGTCAGAGCATTTGACATCCTCCCAGCAGAATGAAGCGTAAAGCACCAGGAGGAGGCGTGGGGAGAAAGAGAGCACCAGCTTGCATTTCTGTTTCCCAGCTGCGGAAGAGAATATTTTTCTTCTTGTTTAAAGTGCCGTCACTTTTCGAGCGTGGCAAAGAAGCCGGTTTTCCTCTATGCTGCAGCTACAACAGACCTGTCCTTGAGCGTGCGTGTGCGTGTGCTGTCTGCAGAGGCTGCCATGTCTCTCATTGTTCCAGGACTAGTGAGGCAGCTTTCCTACCCCAATAGACCCTGCCTACTACAACAGCTGTGGACCAGCCCCCAACCCCTCTGCTGCTCTCCTTCTCCCCTCCTCTTCCTCCTCCTACAGTTCCTGCCTATCTGCCTATGCTGCTACTAAACATTAACCCCGCAGCTGCTGGCTCCGGCTGTAAAGAGGAAAAGATAGGGGGTTGTGTTTCAAATAGACCCTAACACGTTGAAGACAAAGAGATGAAACAGACATGGGATATCCGACAGCCTGAACTGACAGGAGTTCTGCATGGAGCAATTCAGTGTCTTAGAAAGAAAGCAGGCTCTGTCATAAGAGGATTGTCTTCCTGAGTCACACTGGTGAGAGGTGTTACTCATGAGTCCTGCATAGCAGCAGAAAAACAACGTTCCCTGGAAATAAAAACTAGAAAACAGGAGTTCAAAGCATGTCACTGACAATTTAAACCAGAAAATTAGGAGAAACGAGGGGTATGTCAATGTCCCCTGTCAATGAGGGATTTGATTAGTGAAGGTTTGTAGTTGAGTGTTTTTCTGGGCAAGAATTGAACAGAAAATGCAAGTAAGCCTTAATGTTTTTTTGGTGCAAGATTCAATAGAGGTAGGAGTTACACTGTGGAGAAGAACAGAGTAAGGGGAGGCAGCGCAGTGACGGATCCTGGGGAGTGGAGGAAGCAATAGCGCTGGTCAGAGATATTAAAATACCTCCTTATGCCATTTGTGACATCAGTTAGTACCTGGATGTCAAGTAAACCAAACTATGAGTACAATACAATACAGTGTTGTTGTGGTTTGCACCAATAAAAATAAAAAACAGCAGAAAAATGGTATCTAAGAAGCTTTGTTGCAATGGGACTTGCAACAGACATGGCCGATGTGCTGACAAGCCTCAAGTACAAGGTATTTATTCAATTCAATTCAAAAATACTTTATTAATCCCAAAGGGAAATTATTTGTTGTTGTAACTCGTTATCCTCATTTCATTAAGAGATGTTATAGATGCTGATGCTGTAGACAGGAAGGATCTCTTGTAAAGGTCCATCCCACAGTGGATCCTAAGAAACTGGCTGCAGATGCCGTCCGATCTGTCCACCCAGACTCAGCTGGCCTCTCAGTTCCCCCGGGCTGTAGGACCGCCCGAATGGTGGGTAGAACTCCTCCCAGAGTGATGGCCACTCCTCCCAGCAGTCTGCCGAGCTCCTCGTCGCTGCAGACAGCCGGCTGTAGGTGACGAGGGACAATCCGTCCTTCCGCTGTCATGAGCCGTGTTTCCTGCTAGTTCCAGGATCTCAGTGGTCAGGCACTCGAGCACAGCTGGCAGGTAGATGAGAATGCATCCACAGAACATCCTTTCAACTCAGTTGAGATATGGGGCTGTAGTTGAGATATTATTTGAGCTTTTGAGATGTTAATCAGCTGCTGGTTGTAGAAAACTGCCTTGTTGCCATGGTTACGCATCATAACAAATGTCCAAAACTAACAACAGTTTCAGTGAAAATCCTTCCAGCTGCACAGCATCTGATACCAGAGGAAACAATCATCCAAAAAAAATGTGATTTACATCCAGAAAAAGAGGAATTAAAGTTTCCAAAAGCAAAATCTCAGAATGAAAGTCACAGAGCTGCTCCAACATGCAGCCACCTGGAGCGGCGCAACTCTAGAATTGGTTCTTGCCATTTCCAAATCCGATTACTCAGGGAGGGAAATGTGATAGTTGGAGTCAACTCTGTGGCAGAGTTGACTTCAACTCGATATATGTAAACAGCAGTACTTAAATCTGTTTGAACCACTTTTGGCCCTTTTCCATTAGTAACAGTACAGCACTGTTCAACTTGACTCGGCACAGTTCCAAGGCTTTTCCACTAGCAACGGTTTGTGGAACCAGTCCCTTTTTTCAGTCTTTTTTTCTTTGGGGTTCCAACTGTGACGAACTGGCACTAAAACGTGACGTCAGAACACTGTCGGTCACTGAATGGTCAGGGGGTGGAGTCATTGGTTGTTTGAGAAACTTTCACAACAACCTGATCCATCATTTGCAACAACTTGAACTTGGGGAGTGACTGGATCTATTTTTAAGACTTTAAAAACAACAATGACAGCACCGTGGTCTAACGCTGAAGTGCAGGCATTTTTTGTGCTTGGTGGCCGACAACAAAATTTAGAGCGAACTAGATGGAGCTCCACCGGTTCCCCCAGTCCTCTCCACAGGAGCCCCCTCAGGCCGGGCAGGGCGTCATCTCCCTGGCTCCGAGCTCTGTCGATCACCGTGGAAGATCCTCCATGCTGCCGATCCGCAGGAGCAGTGGAGCTCAGAGCAGGAGCACGCGAGGCCGAGGCCGGGGTCCGCCCAAGCCTCGGCCTCGCGTGCTCCTGAAGGTCAGACCCCAAGTCCCGGCAGGCAGGGGCGGACTGGGACAGGTCTGAGACGGAGGGTGGAAACGATAAAAAAATATATATTTTATGTAAAAAACACAATGTATTCTTGTGAAGATTAAAAAAAATAATAAATAAACGATGCCGGCTTTATCATGAAATCCTGTTGTCACTTTAATTACTTTATTAGATAATCTGTTGAACTTAACTCAGCTTAAAAATCATAAAAAAACACAAAATTATTGGATCTATTCAATTTCAATTCAATTCAGTTTATTTATAAAGCGCCAAATCACAACAAAGTTATCTCAGGACACTTTACAGGAACATTCACAAACATAAAAGCCAATTAGTAAAGTTCTCTATCTAATGAAGTCAGTAGACAAGTTGAATCTTGGATCTCTCAGGAATATTTCCCTCAAATATGTTTAAAGAAGGGCAGCACGGTGGCGCAACTGGTAGAGCTGCTGTCGCTCAGCGAGAAGGTTGCTGGTACAAATCCCGGCCCGGGGACTTTCTGGGTGGAGTTTGCATGTTCTCTCCGTGCATGCGTGGGTTTTCTCCGGGTGCTCCAGTTTCCTCCCACAGACCAAAAACATGCATGTTAGGCTGATTGGTAACTCTAAATTGTCCCTAGGTGAGAGAGAGAATGGTTGTTTGTCTCGTTTGTCTC